TTGAAGCTCTAACATGACTTGCTGTGTCTGGAACTTGTAACACACTGAAAAGGCTCTTTCTGCATTGCAAATTAGATATCATTTCATGAGTTAGAAAAATCCTTCCTGTGGTCAAGCTTTACTCGTAATATTGAAAAAAACAAAAAATTTCTCTCACTGGGAAAGAAGCTTTGCAGCACATGTGGGCTTGCTTTCTCTTCATTTGCTCAGAAACACTAACACAGTTTTAGTGCTCATAGAAGCTCTGAACTAAGCAAGCTGTGCATTGGAGATCTAACATGACTTGCTGTGTCTGGAACTTGTTACACACTGAAAAGGGTATTTTTGCATAGCAAATAAGATTTCATTTCATGAGATAGAAAAATCCTTCCTGTGGGCAAGCTTTATTCTTAATACTTCATAAACCTACTTTTTTCTTACTCAGAAAGTAACTTTTAAGCACATGTGGGCTTGCATTCTCTCCATTTGCTTTTTTACACTAACAGAACATTAGTGTTCCAAGAAGCTCTAAAATGGTAGTTATGAGAATCGAAGCTCTAACATAGCTTGCAGGGCATAAAAGCTCTAACACATTAACATCTGTCTTTCTGTATTGCAAAAAAACATTTAATTTGGTATGTGAGAAACATCCTTCATGTGGGCAAGTTTTACTCTTAACATTGTATAAACCAACTTTCTCTCACTGGGAAAGAAGTTATGCAGCATATTTTGGCTTGCTTTCTCTTTTTTTGTTCAGAAACACTAACACTGCATTAGTGCTCAAAAAAGCTCTAAACAGCCTTAGATGAAATCAGATGAAGATAAAAGACATTGAATCTCTGTAGATCTCAGCAGAGGATGATTAAACAACTCCACAAACAGCATTATCAGCTTCACTCATTACTAACCAGATTGACTTTATTTCTGTCATACAAAAGTTCTTAATGAGAATTCACAGAGGTTTAGATGTTGGTTTCATTACACAAAATGTCATCTTGAAAGATTTAATGTGTTTTATTTCAGCTGATTTCATCTAAGGCTGTGACTAAGCCAGTTGTAGTTGTGTTTCTGTTCTTCTCTCTCTTTTTTTCTGTTTTTCTTTCCTTCACTAATTCTGCTTGTTAACATTCTCATTAAGTTCAATTCTGCTTCAGTGTTACTTCAACACTCTGCATTGTGGGACCAAATACACTCTGAGCAGTGTTGATCCCTGAAGGTCCTCCAAATAACGTCCCCCAACCCTTTAAAAACTCAACATCATGAGCATCTCGGGAAACGTTCTGAGAACGTCATTTACACCAGCGGGACGCTCTGAGAATGCTCTGGGAACATTACATTTCTAGGTAGATGTTGTTCATAGTGCTTGTGAACTACTTTTTGTATTATTAATGTTCAGTATTCAAATCACATGTGAATATTGACTTTGTGTAAATGTAGCAGTCAAAGTTTTAATAAATATGTGACCCTGAACCAAAAAAGCAGTCATAAGTAGCACGGGTATATTTGTAGCAATAGCCAAAAATACATTGTATGGGTCAAAATGATTGATTTTTCTTTTATGCCAAAAATCATTATGACATTAAAGTAAATACATCATGTTCCATGAAGATATTTTGTAAATTTCCTGCCGTAAATATATCAAAACTTAATTTTTGTTTAGTAATAGTCATGGCTAAGAACTTCATTTGGACAACTTTAAAGGCGATTTTCTCAATATTTACATTTTTTTTGCACCCTCAGATTCCAGATTTTCAAATAGTTGTATCTCAACCAAATATTGTCCTATCCTAACAAACCATACATCAATGGAAACCTTATTTATTCAGCTTTCAGATGATGTATACATCTCAATTTCAGAAAACTGACGCTTATGACTAGTTTTGTGGTCCATGGTCTCACACACACACACATATAAAATAGCTTTTTTTGTATTGCATTCATTTTAACTGGTTAAGAATAGCACATCTCTGACACAAATTAAGTGATTTATGACACATTAGTGTAAGAAGAATAACACACTGGTTGTGTTAAAATTTAATTACAGTTTTTTACGATTGCTTAAGCACAATTTTGAAAACAGGGCCCGGTTTGTCAAAACACTACACACAATTAACAACCCTACACCAAAGTAGCACAACACTTCAGATCATTTGCAAAATTCAACACTTTTGTCAAAACTATACACAACTTTGTAAAAACAATATTTTGTTACCATACGAAACACACACATTTCATATGACTTTAATCTTTTTGAACAAGTTACACACTGCTCTTGCTAACCTAAAACACTTGGATTTCCTCAGCATCCATCTGCAAAACTCTCTGAAATACAGTGAAAGACAACATTGTGTAGTTCAGGATAGGTCTAGTATATTACAGTCAATGTAAAAAAGTAATGTGTGGAGTATGCAACATCACAGTGCTAAAGTGAACAATACAAACCTCCACATACTCATGCCGCAGCCGTTTGACCCTCTCTGAATTCCGCTCAAAAGGCACTCGATAAAGTTGTTTCATTTGAACCTGATGTCTTTTCAGGATGCGTGCCAGTGTTGACTGAGAGACCTGATGGACATTATTGAAAATGGCATGGTCACCGATAATGTTTGCTTGTAGTTCTCTGAGCCTGATAGCATTATTGGCCAAAACCATGTTTATTATCTCTCTCTCTTGTTCTTGCGTGAATATGGGCCCCCTTCCTCCTTGTCGTTCCCGACCCTCAATCCTATGTAGTGTATATTGTAACTTACTGTACAATGTCACAGGAAGGGGTATCACAAGTGCTGATATGGTGCATACAATAAGCGGCTGATTACTGTAACTGTAGACAGATCTTCTTTTACCTGTTTTCCTGTCGAAAAGTCCTTATGACAGATGCCACTGTATATCTGCTAAGATTTGGCTGAACTCTCAGTCCAGCCTCCCTCAGCGTCAATCCGTGGTTCACAACATGGTCCACTAGTGTTGCACGAATGTCATTTGATAAGTTTGGTCCTCTTCTTCTTTGTGCACGTTCTCCTCCTGCTTCAGGTCTTCCTCGGCCTCTGCCTCTTTCTCCTCCTCTGTGTACTCCTCCTCTCACCCTCACTCTTCTTCTGACTCCTTCCATTTTGGTTGAAGGCAGGTGAACCTACCTGCTGCATTTTTATATTGCTTAAACCTGATTGGTGTGTCTACAATTTAGCAATCATGTGTTTGTGCACCTGATGGCTGTGTTTAACAGATTGGCTCATAGGTGTGGTAATTTGACAGTCAGTGCTTTGGAATTGCAAGGAAGTGACATCATGATTTACTTCTGTGTCTGATGTATACAAGTGTGTTTAGTGTTTTGCAAATCACTGTGTGTAATGTTTTGCAAATAGTGTGAAGCTGACAATGTGCTTACAGTTGTGCAAATCTAGCCTTGTGTTTTGCTCCTTGAGTGTAAGGTTTTGCTAATTGTTGGAAAAGTTTAATTTTAGTGTGTAAGCAATCGTAAAAAACTGTAACACAAAATGTGTTGTCCTTTACTAGACACAGGTGTGTAAGGATATAACACAGGTTGTATTGTTTTTAACACATCTGTTTTAAGAGTGAATAAACATAAAATTTCTCAAGAGCAATTTTTGAAGGGGACACAAATAATACAGCTAAAATTGTGCTTGTAAGGATATGTATACACAGAGGAAAGCCTTACTACTATTAGTGCAGCAGGGAGACAAATTAGACAACTTAAAGCTGTTGTGGTCGTGCCGTGACAGCTATCTTCTCCGTTGTATCCGTCACAGTGTTGCCAAATCCGTGGTTTTCCCATGGAATTGGGCTACTTTATCACTGTTGCCGCGGGTTGTTTTTCATGTCCGCAGGTTGAAGCGACCCAATAACGTGTATTTTAGCCACCAGAATGCGATTTTTACCGGGGTCCCCCTCGAAACGCGGTTCATTTGGGCTAGTTTTGAGTAGCAATTGGGAGGGTTTTGTTGTGAAAAGCTGGCAGTCCTTTCCGTCAAGCAGGGTTATTATTGCTAACATGCTTAAGTGAATAAAACTGACAGCCTTACTGGAGTTCCACAACTATTGGCTTTGTTCTCTCTCACTGGACTCGTGTGTGTAGGTGGTTATGTAAAAGAGGAAAGCAGGTATTTGGACCAAAGCACTGTGAGGCATGGGAGGGGTACACTGTAAAAAATTGCTGTAAAAAAACGGCCATATTCTGACAGTAACATCCTGTTTTTTCATTACAACAGTACAATCCCGTAAAAAAACAACGTATTCTGGGTAATATTTGTTATTTTCGAGAAAGTAGCCTTCTGCAGTCCTTGTTCAGATTCGTCACTCAGAGTCTGTTTCAAATCACACCCTACACCCTCATTCTCTATTCCCTACATGCGTTTACTAATACAGTCCACCTGACAGAGAGAATGAACACTAATGAGTGAATTCAGACAATGATGAACAGCTGCTGTTAACGAGCAGAATCACTGAAGAAAAGAGAAACACAAGAACTACAACTGACTTCAGTCACAGCCTTAGATGAAATCAACTGAAATAAGACAGCAGAACATGATCAAACAACTCCACAAACAGCATTACAGTTTGACTTTATTTCTGTCATATATCTACAAAAATTCTTTGAGAAT